TATATATATATATATATATATATATATATATCAGTGAAATTCATCTTACTTGCATTTCAATCAGAATACCCTACTCCAAATTTTCTCCCATAACCTCCCTTGCCCACAATCATATCCCCCCAATCCAATAATATAAAGGAAGTTTCCGATAACTTCTCCCACAAGATATAGACGGCAGCCACATATGCACCACAAAGCAGATACTAAATATGGATAGTTTAAGAGAAGGAAAGACAGCTAAAAATGGAATTATTACCGTTAGAGCCACTGGGAGGAGACCGGAGAACCGCAGAGGCAGCTAACCGGGGCCAAAATGCTCACAAATGCCGCCCTAAAATACCGATGGAGCCCTTCTTATTTGAGCTTGTGCTCAGAATAGTATCCTCTTTCATGGAGATGAGTGGGTGAGTGACAGCCAAGTTCTGCTGGTACTCATCTTCGTCTTGCAAGCTGCTTACTGAACTGAAACGCTTTGAAAGTTTCGAATCAGAAACTAACTCGTTATGTTCCATCAATTCTGCCTCCTCCAAGACATCTCGCATTGCTAGATCATCGTACTCTTCAGCAGACTTGGTAGAGTGTTCCTCAACCGAGCCTTCCATCTGTGGAGGGAACCAGGTAATAATGTATTCAGTAGCAGGTGTAATAATTTGGTGGTAGTAAGATTTTACCATACGTTCTTGAAGCAATGAATAGAAGCAAGAGAAATTTACATACATAGCACACAATTCTTATGTATTTACATATCTCAAACCAAAACTTTCATATTTACATACATAGCCATAGCACTTTGATGCTACATACATAGCACTTTGATGCTTTAAACCTATTGCATGAAAATATGTGTTTTGCTTTTAAATAGCGGTAATAATGCTATTTTTATGTGACATTAAAGATTTGAGTGTTTTGTGCGTAAATATGAATATTTAGGTGTAGATATATGTAAATACATAAGAATTGTGTGCTATGCATGTAAATGCCCGGAGAAATAATTAATTTTAGAGATAAGTACTCACCTCATCATGAATATCCTTAGCAACATCACTTAGATCCTCATCACTATCAATATCAGGGTGATCATCAGCCTCTTCACTGCCAGAGACAGATAACTCCTCTTTTAGCTGCAAAAAGATGTCAGCTAAATACGGACAAAAATGAAAATAAACGAAGAAATGGAGAATGGAATGGCAATTTTCATAATAAATTAATTATAAGAGACGAGCAATCCATGTACTCCAGTACCTCGAGAGACCATTTCTTCTCCTTCCTTGCAATTGCTAATCTAATTTTTTTGGCAACATGAAAGCCTTCAATAGCAATCAAGGAGGCCTCATTGTGCGATGAGATATATAGATTGATCAACTATTATGATTCATTTTTAATGATTTATATGATTAGTTGATATAATAATACTTGATCAACTTTATTTCTTTTGCTTTAGTCTTTCTCAATATTAAGAAAAATAATATAATAATTGATCTAGGGGCTAAATTCTAGGGTTGCTTTCTGGAGAGATGAAAATTTCATACATATTATGGCTGCTAGGTTTTGATCGAATATCCTTTACCGCCAATACATAAACTGGTTTGACTCTCTCTTGCATCACCCTTTTCTCTCCCAACTCCTAATCTCTTCTACCTTACTGCTAGCAAGCCTCTTCCTCCCTTAAACTAAGGTATTAGTTATCCTGGCAACCCAAGTGGCTGCACTTTCTAGGAAATTAGACAATCTGGGTACAAATACGATGCAAGGACTTTCACCCAACAATGGGTGGACTCATGGACCGGTGGTAGATCCTAGCATCTATACTTTAAAAACAGTTAATGCCATAAGAAATAATGGCCATAACCCATTTTCCAATATCTACAACTCCAACTGGGCTACTTCCCCAAACTCTGATTGGAACATTAGTTACATTAGTCTAAAATACCAAGTTTGGGGGAAATATCAATCCGACCTTATAGAAAATCAGAACAACTGGGATAGGGACCACATTTGCCAAACTCAGCCTTGGAAAGTCACTTCGGAACCCCAATTTAGGGAGCATACCCTGTCATTAGAAGAATTGTTAGTAAGTTTGAGGAATAAATCAAACGCCTACACCCAAAAATGTTGCTACCCAAACTTCAATTGAAATAATTATAACTCTAGAATAGACAACCAACAATGGGAGAGCCCCAAAGTCTATCCTGCAGGAAGTTCGAATAACTAAGATAGTGACTATGTTGAAGAAAGTGATTATTTGGAAGAATCAGTGATAAATGCGGGGAAAGAACCAAGCTAATGCCTTTAGAAACATAAAAAATCAAGTTGAGCAGTTAGCTAAACTTTTAACTAATGAACTCCAAAGGATATTAGGGGTATTTGATAGCTTTCAGAATCGAAAGATTTAGATCCCGAAGAGCAAGCTGAGTCGGATGACTTTTGTTGGGAAATGACCAAGGAAGAATCTGCTCTTCTTTATAAGGCAACCCCCTAGCATAAATAGGGACCCATAGAACTAATCCTAGGAGTGTCCCATGTGGAAGAGTTTGAAGACAGCCCAAGGGAAGAGTATCTAGTAGATTTAAATCATAAACCTGAAAAGCCTAGAGAGAACCTAACCCAAAATTTAGGAGACCTTGAATTATCTTATAGGGAGCCATTTCTTGTAACTTATGTGTTATTTGATATGTTGATCATGTATATTTTTTCTTCCTAAATTTTGTTTTGAAATTTGCTTTGAAATCGACTTTGAACTTTCATTTAAATTATTTTTTAATCTTGTTTATCTACAAAGTGACAGCCTTTATATTGAGATTTTTATCGCACCACGTTTTCTTACTTTATGATTTTTGTACTTGATGAGTGGACTATGCATTTACCGTTTTCATGTACTTACCTGCTTTTTATTTGTATTATTACTTTCCTGTTATACATATTTTGGAAAAAGAATCAAGTTTATGGGGGAGAAAACATTACCTCATTATGAACCTGATAGGTATTTCACATAACTCAGTAAAAGATGGGTGTGCTTGGGGCAGCTTATGCTTATCCAGATAAGCAGCTTATCTTGAAAAGCGACCTGCGGGTGGCTCACAGGGTTTGACCCGCGACCTGCATTTATTGTAAAACTCAACCGCGTTTTCGGATAAGTTGCCGAAACATTTTTTCCGAACGGTGAGGCGGCGTTATAAGTTGCCCCAAACAGACCCTTAATCTCATTTTGTGAACTCTTATTAGGACTTTTAATAATTCAGATTGGTTATCATAAATTTTTAAAAGCGGATAAAAATCATTATAAAAGATTAACTTTAATAAGTTAATAATATGATTTCAAAACTTAACTTTAAACTTTACATAAGACAGACAGATCCAGTGGAGAGATTAGCTAAATTATATATGTAAAAAAAATGTGAGATTGCATGTAGTGCCGAAGTCTATTGTCTCAAACAAAAATGACATATTTACTTCCAGATTGTGGAAGAAGGCTTAGAAAGCTTTCAGCACCTAATTTACTTTCAAAACTACATTTCACCTTTAGACAAAAGGTCAGTCGGAGATAACTATTCAGATATTGGAAGGTCTACTAAGGTTATGTGTCATTGACTTTAGTAGAGACTGGAAAGCACATATCCTATTAGTAGAATTTACTTGCAATAGTAGTTTGCTAAGCTAGCATTGGGAAAACTCCATATGAAGTACGTTGGTCTAAAATAAGTGAAAGAAAGATCATTAGAGCTAATTTAGTTGATGATGCCACTAAGAAGAATAAATTGGTCAGAGACATAATGAAAACAATACAACATGGATAATGAAAATATTACGATGCCAAGCACAAAATAATTGAGTTTGAAGTTGGAGTTTATTTTTACCAAGGACATTCCACTAAAAGGTATGCATTGATTTAGAAAGATAGAAAAATTCAACCTTAGATTTGTCGATCCATTTGATATTGTGAAGAGGATTGGGAAGGTGGCTAACAAATTGGCCTTACCAGCTCGTATGCAGGGAATGCATAATAATCTTCACATGTCTTCAATCAGAAAATATATTGCGGATGAAGTTAATAGGATGATAACAAACTCAGTTGACATTCAACCTGATTTGACTTATGTTTGAGGAACGTGAAAGAGTTCTGGATTATGACGTGAAGAAGCTGTGAAACAAAAAAATCTCTTTTACGAAGATTTTATAGAAGTATGAGTTGAAGAAGGATGCTACTTGAGAGTCTTTGAGAAGTAAGAAAAATATCACAGCTTTTCATTTAAGGTATGCTTGTTTTTGTTTTAAATATTTTCAAATTTTGAGGATGAAATTTTATAAAGAGGGGAGATAGTAATAACTGAATTAAAATAATAATAATAATAATAATAATAATAATAATAATAATAATAATAATAATAATAATAATAATAATAATAAAATAAATAAATAAATAAAAAGATACATACAGTTAGAGATGCATAATCTCGTAAGAGACATATTTTTTATTCCTTTACACATTTTCTCATTCCAACCATCGAATTAGCAAGCGAGAGATAGCTGAGAGATCGAAAGAGAAGAATACTGTTCACACCTTAACTGAGGAAGGAAGTCGGAGAAGAAAACACCGTCAGAGGGGTCGGGCAACTTATCTATGAGTGGAGGAAGCCAAAAGAGGAAGAAGATTCGTGCGGTTTTCCTCGTGCAATAATTACCACACCTGATCAACGTTATTGCTTATTACTCGAGCAATGCCGAAGAGGAAGGAAGGAGGATCAGTTTTGTGCGCTGCTACCGTGCGAAGAATGAGGAGCAAGCCTCGCATGCTTTGTTAGGGGAGACCATTCGAAATCGAAGGAAGGAGGGAGCTCTCACGATCGAGTAGAGACTGGTGGGAGAGATTTTCGGCAAGAATTAAACTTAAGAAGAAAAAGAAGCCTTGTGCAAGAATTAAACTAGACCTTTTAACGTAAGGAGTAATATATTGATTATTATATGTCAATTTAATGATAAGATGATAGATATGATCAAGCTTTCTTTGGTTGAGATTATTATAATAATTTGTATACTTAATTAATATTAGTGGTTGCTTAAAGAAGTTAGTGGAGAAGTATTTCATAATTCGCATGTAAGCAAAAGTGAGTGGTTATTTTTTTTTATGTACTATATTAATGTTTTATTAAATTGTTTAAAACAAATATTTCATTCATCATTTAAAAGTCTGAAATTGTATCACAAATGAGAGGGAAATAACGGGCATATGAATGTACATTTTGAGGAATTTTAAATTGATATGAAATGAAATACAAATGTTAAGTCATACAGGATTACCCCAGATGGTACTGACAGGGGATGTGATATACCCGTGCACATTAAAAGAAATAGTAAAGATGTATCTTCAGATGCAAATTGAGAGTACTTTCAGGTACATCTTTTTAAGGGTCCATACGGGCACATTTTGAGGGTACTTTGGGGTATATTTTTTTAGGATACATTCGAATATGATTGTAATCCTATTATGACGATTAAATATGTTAAAATGATATATACTTAAAGCGAAATAAAAAGGGAAAAAAATGAAAATGAAGATTCAAGAATTTATACAGTAATGAGCTACATTTTTTTTGGTCATTCAAGCATATTATAGGCATCATAATTTAATGCATATAAAAATTATAATTACTCATTAAGTCAAACTTATATTTGAAATTAATGTTTTCTTTTAGGAGAATAAAAACTTTAGGTTAATATGTCTGTTAGGAAGGATTTGGTTTATAGGATGGATTTGATTTACAGTGGGAGTACTGCAACTAATAGGTACTAGTTATGTTGTTTCTGGATACTTAATTTTATCACACTTTGTGGATTTTAGTGGCACTTTTATAAATTTGAAGATTCCATAATTCAGTGGATAGTTGTTTAAATGTTAAAACCGTCCAACTATTGTTCCCGACTTGGTTAATTCCAACTATCAGGCTGGATTGTGAAATCCATTAAGCGAGCGAAAGGACGACTAAGAGCATGAATGAGTAAGAAACAATTTGATAGTGCTAGAAATCCCAGGCAAGCAAGTAGGCTGTATGCAACAAGATAAAGAAGAAGATAAAGGGAGGTGGCAGCAATTAAATAAGAGCTAACGTGATTTTGATAAAATGTAAAGGAAAAATAGTTTTTATTATTAACTAAAAATCACTAAATTTAAAAGTGGAAATTGCATATAATTTTATGCTAATGGCTGGTTAATGGATTTGGGTTTTCTTTCCAATGCAACAATGATTCATAACCAATACATGGTCTTGATATGCTTGAGCAAATAGTTTGTTCATAAAAAGGGGGCATGAGGTGCCAATAGAATACGGAAATTTACAGCGTCAGAGAGGGAATAACGAAGGAAAAAATAAAGTGGAGAAGCTTCATTTCAGAACTCTAGAATGATGAGCTGGGGGAATGGGTACAATTTGTCAAATATAAGCTGCATTCATTTCAATTTTGGTTGCTTTTTAATATTTTATTCATGCAATCTATATGCTTGTTAGGTTAAATCATCTAGAAGGCTGCCCAATGAGCTAGACGGACCTCTTTAGGACCTTTAGTATAAATTTTGGGAAACTTTAATATAATGAATACAACACCTCACAGCACACCAAAGACCTTGCACAATGCGCCGATCAACTGTAAATTTCTCTCCCCTTCACTTATTTTCCTCTTTTCCAGCATGAAACACGAGTGTTCTTCTTAATTATGTAAATCATGCAAAGTTCACGTAGATGGTACTGCACACCTGCAAGCAACAATGAGGCATCATCTTTTGTCCAAACCAAACACAATTCATACATTTTCTGAGCCAGACAAGCCCTGTTCAAGTCAACCATATTTTTCCCGAGTCAAATTCAGTTCAAGTTTCCAGCTATAATAAAAAGGTTCTTTCGTTATGGTATATGAAGCGTCCAGTCTATATCAGATCAGAATCAAGCCGAATAGTTGACCCGAGTCGACAACCAAGCACCAGTTACACACCTTTACATTTCAAAACAAACCTAGTCCTATGCCCCTCAAAACAGAATACACCATCCATTTGCGGCAACTTCTGGCTCACCATCTACCCATTTTTGGGTAACTTCTGGTTCTTCTAATTGTGTCTCCTATTCTTAAGAAACACTACTTTTGTCTCTTGGAACAGCTAACAAGGAAACAAAGTAAAGGCAAGTTTTGTCTGTGATCAAACTACAATATTAAGCAGCCTTTACTTTGACAAGACACCAAATATCAAAGAAAAACCGAGTCTGTGATCAAACTACAATATTAAGCAGCCCACACTTGGACTAAGAAGATCATCTCTTTCATTTAACAGAAATTGGGTAAGGCTTCTTAGAAGAGTAACTGATGAATTATAACAAAAATTCATAGAAAAAAAAAGGAAACTTACTTCTTTGGCGGCTGCTTCTGATAGCCTTGGAGAGCTGCAACAGGAGGAAAAGTATCTACTGCCAGTATCAGTACCGTCAGCCCTCGACTCATCGATGCTTCCAGTATGACTAGTACCACCTGTATCACTGGGCCAGGCACTGATTCCAAAATTACCAAACTGGAGATTAACTGGTTCTGCCTTTCCAATATGCAAGGGGCCATACATGGAAATTCCCACTATTTTATCATTACCATTGGCAGAAATGCATTTTACACTACCATCAGCGAACTCAAATGGCCAAGTTTTAGCAACAGAGCCATCTGTATAAAGAAGGGCCATGAGATGCCTGGAAGAACCTTTCCTCTGAATTAATTGGAACATTCCCTTAGAACTTAGGCTATCAGCAGCACATTGATTTCTATACTCCTCATCCACTAATGGCACCATATTAGTAGCTGGGTCATAAAGAGATTCTCCTGCAGCACGCCTACGTAAACAGCTAAAGATTGTGGCATGAATTAATGCAACACTACGGTCGACATTCGTATTATTAATTTTAGGTACCAAGTGCTTGTCTGCCCGATTACACAGATAGTCCTGAATTGTCCTGATATTTTTGATAAATTTGACATACTTATTCTTGGCAGGATCAAGAGTCATATACTTTGCACGTACTGCAAATCGTTCCATGTGTTTTTCCTCATTTGCAATATAGATCATGAATGGTATTATTGAAGGATGTTTCTTCATTAGCCCCATCTACAAAAGTTTAACAATATAAATCAGCCATAATATTGTGAAGGATAATTAATAAACTAGCATGTTCAACTGGTGCATGAATGAGCAAGTCCTTTTTCAGAAAAGGCATAATAATTTTTAATAAAATTTGTTAATAAAAATCTGAACAGTTTACTAGTTCCAGTAAAGACAACTAAGATCTGATTTCCCTCCCCAACTTGATTTTGGAAGACTTATATTAAACAATTAAATGTTAAAGAACTAAAGAATACTGTTTTCTTTCTTACAAAGATACCCACCACAAAATTGAGGCTTAAATGGACTCCTTCCACAACAACTGATTCTCTTCGATTCTCCCAAGCTGTGATCAAACGGTCCAAGCTATCTATCACCATCTCGCTCTGTGCTTTAAATCCTTTAATGGCCATTTGCCTCTTGCTAATCGTATCTACAGAAGCTAATCTAATAGGAATTTGGCCATCAGCTTTTCCATTTGAGTTTCCTTCTGAAAATTCATCCTTGACCATGGGATATGATAAGACGGCTAGTTTTTGTGCTTTCCGTCTAGCCTTTGCTTCTGCAACTGCTATTGGATCCAAGTATTCTCCAGCATGATAAGTTGAAGCCCAAAGGAGAGGATTTTGCTCCTCATCAACAAAGCTTCTCATCATATGCCGTATGGAATCAGTAGAGATTACAGTGGTGAGGCCCAACCTGCTTCCCTATTTGGATGCACATTCAAGAAATAATATTAAAGGCTGGTGCAGGCTTACCACACACGATTTTAAATAAAGAAAAATACAATGCTAAAAATTTCCTTATAGAATAGCAATTTCACAAGTCTGCAAACCAAAAGATTCTGCTAAAAAAAACCATATATTTTTTTGTGAGAATAACCACAAAACCTAGATACCTTATGTGATACATAAAAGACACACACACACACACACACACACACACAAATAATAATAATAATAATAATAATAATAATAATAATATATATATTATTATTTTTTAAAAAAATGGTGAGAGACTATTATATGAACCTCCAATCACTCATAATGGTGAGAGACAATTTGAGTACCACCTCCTTAAGGCTCACGTCGCCAGAGGAGATTTGAACCCCCGACCTGAGAGATCTTATACTGAGGATGCCGACCAACAGACTGGGGTATGCGGAACATATACATGTATATGTATATGTGTGTGTGTGTGTTAACAATATATTTCCCACAATTTCAAACTGTAATGAGTGCAAATTCCACATATACATGGACCTAGTAAAAGATTGTATTGTCAAGCTGCAATTAAGATACCAGCAGAGCAGACAGAGTAGACTTTCCACATCCACTTGTTCCACATAAAAGAACAGTCACAGATTCCCTCTTTTCTCGGATTCTGCAAAAAAAAAATTAAGAGGAAGGGAGATTAAATACTTAAAACAACATATAATACAATTTAGAATCTCTAGATAAAGTTCAGTAGATAGTAGAAGCCACAAATAGAGCAACCATGGAAACATTTGCTCAAAATTTAAACGAATATAGAGCTGAAAGGTTTAACTACTAGAAGTGCAATAAAATATAATTAATCCTATACATCAAATTGCTGAACAAATAAGTTTAAAACATTAAAAAACCAATTTAAGTTTGCTCATAATTCTAAGGCCATAACACTCTAATCCAATCTTTCGAGACTATTATTTTTTCTTTTGGTGATTCCAAAGCCAACTAATAATATTCATATTCAACTAAATTTAGCTATCTGCCAGTTTGGCCAAGTTCATATGCAAAATTAGTTTATAAAATTTTTAGCTGTGCTATACATAAATAACTCTCAATGTTGCTAGTCCTGTGTCACGCCAGTCAAAGGTTGACCGGCCTGGACCAACCAGCCCCAGTTGGCCCAGCCAAGCTGGGCAGCATAGTAGGATTAAATAACTTTCAACCAAAATTATCATACAAAACTTGCACCATACTCAGAACTATGAAGCACATATACGAACACGACACGGGACAACAAAACTATACAATTGCCAAAGGTGGGACACGACATGTCATAGACACTTTTTTTTACATTTAGTAAATTATGAATATGAAATAAATAAATATATATATATATATA